AGTTAACTTATTATATTTGTGTATCTATTTTCAGAGTTTCGGTAGTTTGTCAATACTGTCTATATATGTGTCAGGTAAACATTCTGTGTCCGTTTGCAAGTTGAAACTATTTGTTTGTCTTTTAATGTAAATCATCTCGGAGATTGATCTTTTTCCGAGGATACTTTCTTTATCAAGAATTTTTACTTCATTCCATTTAAATTTGTGGTTGAAATCGAGCCTATGGTTAGTTATAACAGATTTATTTATTGTATTTTTATTAATGTCAAGTTTATGTTCCAAAATCCTAGTACTTAATTTACGTCCCGTTTGGCCCACATATGATGCATTACAGTCAGCACATTCAATTCTATAAACAATATTGGTATTGGAAAAATTGAAACTTTATCTTTATGCACTTTAATGTGTTTGTTTAACTTATTTAAACTGAAGTAAGAGAGTTTTGTATTAAGATTCTTTGTGATATTTTTAAATTGTTCAGATATGGTTGGTAGATATGGAATGGTCTTCCTGCTCCTCAAGCGCCTCCTCTTCTTCCTGCTCCTCAAGCGCTTCCTCTTCTTCCTTCTCCGGTTCCTCTTCCCGCTCTATTAATATTATTATAACATTAGAAATTTTGTTATAAAAATAATACATATATATTTTACAAGTTTTATATTACTTTGTATATTCAAAGTCGGTTGTTTTGTAAATCTATATTTTTAAATATCACCTTATCTGGTGTAAATATTAAGCTATCCGCTGGGCTTACGACGATGATAGAATCGTATATAGAATCGTCGTCGTTGGCATCGTCGTTAGCTTCGGGAATAACGATGTTAGCATCATCGTCGTCGTCGTCGTCTGAAATAATATATTTATACATTAAGTTTCTTACTATATTTTTTATATTTCTTTTTAAAATATTTTATTATTTCTCTAAAATGTTAACTTACCCGCTATATCGACAACAATTGGAACCGGATTTTCCGCCGGCAGTATTCAGGCTCTCTCCCTTAAATATTTAATTTTTAACAGTAACTGTTATATATATATATATATTTTTTTTTACAAATAATTATATATTTTACGCGCATATAAACTTACGTGAGGGTCTTGCCTCGGACTCTTCTGCCGCTCGCCTCTTTTGAGAGGGACGAATTATTGCAAGATTTACTGGAGAGTTCGCTACGGATTATTAATAACGATTTAAGCTTATAATTCAATCACCGGCACGTTAAAAGTATATAAAGTAATTACCTCTTATTTCCATTCTTCGTTGGTTCGCCAGCAGATAGGCGGCATATCCGCCAACATCCTCTTCTTTGTGCCGCAAATCTTTGCGAAACGATATAACTTCGGCGGCAATGTTCAATAATTCCTTATCACCTCCGAAATGCCCCAATCTGTACAGAACTCCGAGTAAGGAGTTTGAGATTGAATACGCGAATTTCTCGAAAATATAATAGTTATTATCCCGATCTTCTGTCAGGCGAGGCAGATACGTCTTCGGCTTTATCTCCCGCCATAAATTTGCTGCCAAATTTATGCACGTCGATATCAGCATTTTCCGAGCCGACATTTTCACTTGCACTTAACTCGCAACACGTGACAATAACACAAACGCGTACGTTCGAGGAACTGACAAGTATCTCGGACAATGTCGAACTTAAAATGCACATTTTTTTCTGTACTGCGGGAAATTTATACTTTACTCCCCGTCGAAAAATTCGACATTTTCCTCCGTTTAGATTTTGAAAGAGCGGGAGAATCGAAAAAAATTTCAATTTTCTCGCTAGCAATTTCTTCGTTTTTCACGAAGGAGGGGGCGAGGAGTATTCTTAATCTAGTTTTCTCACCTATCGGATGATACTTTTCTTAAATTCTGAGTGTTTCTTAAAACTAAAATATTTCTTAATTTGTTACCTACCTTCGGAATGTGCTTTTTTCTTTACAAATAGGCGTGACAGAAAAATTTTTGGTTATTTCATTGGCGAGCGTCGATTTCCTTTCTGGCAAATATTTCAGATGGTGTTATTAAGTTTTACAACTATTTTCTCAGTGCAGTTCGGAAAATCGTAAAATATAATTTATTTTTTATTTTACGAGATACAATAAATTACAAAAATCAAAAGGATTGATTTTTTATCCCGTCATATATATTGGTGCATGTATTAAATCTCAGACCTTTTTTTGACGAAGTTTATTGATACTCCAATCTTTATCCTATTCAGGCGTTCTCGAACTCGTAAATCCCTTGCTATATTTTAAAAGGATAAAAATATTTTCAAATCAAATCTTCCGAGCGTTTTCTTTTTGTTTAATACATGTTTGTTTAAACATAAGAATTCGATTTGACATGAAAAATTGATTTTTGTTTATTCACTTACATACACAGATTTTTCTTTCGTTCTTTTCTCGCGTTACATGATCTCGTTTCTAGAAATTTCTAAATATTTCTAGAAATTTTTTATTTAACGCGTACAGGTCTGAACATGAAAAATCATAATTTTTCACGTAAAATACGTCTTCCCCACTTTTATTTTTTAAATTTTTGCGAGAGAGGGAGAACGGTAATATAAGCGAGTCGACAAGTCGTTCTTCCTCATTCATTCGAGTTCGAGTTTACAGAAATACAAGTTCAAGATACGAAGAAAGAATTTCTCGTAGTTTTGCCATTTTACCGGGTTGTCCTGACTATTCGTGAAATTTTACAAGTGAAAACAATGGTTACGCGCAAGGAAGTATTCGGCTTTGCGAAAAATCTGATCGCAATCGCGATATTCGCAAAATAACTAACAACGACGGCATCGATAACGCCAGAAGTCACGAACAACGTTACTTATTGTTATCGACGACGTACAGACTTAATTCTTCTCACACTGAGAAGATACATGTTGGATTGCAGTCAAAGAACAATGGCGGCTTCATGCCGATTGTTAAATTAACGGGCAATTACGCCGAAAGAATTTGTTTCGACCTCAACACGTGGCATCAGTTTCAAATCAATATGAAACATATGAATCTATATTTGAATGAGAATTTAAAGATTAAACCAGATCCTATTATTATCGAGAATATTTCGATCATCTTCACTACTGCTTACGGAGCGAGGGCTGTACTGGTGGCATACAAGAAAAACAAGGATCATGCAACGGAAGATAAAGCGGAAGAAGAAGAAGAATCTCAACCGCCGTTGAAAAAACAAGACTTACGCAGTTGCAATAGTGATGCAGAAAACTACTTTTCTCGGCTTGGAACATATTAGAAAATGCGTGGATGCACATTTGATGCAACTAGTTTCCATACTGTCGATACTGTTGATGCAACTGCGAGATATTTAATTAATGAAATATAATTAAAACTTCCCTTGTCTTACATTGATCGTGAAATTATAAAACTTACTATCAGAGGCAATTATCAGGAAATTAAACGTAATGTACAAACGCAAATAAATAACTTAACATTTTTAGATGTTTACTTTAACATTGTATTTGTAAAATTACTTACGCTTCGATTTAATGAAATTCTTCGTATTATTTTGCTAAAACGCAAATCTTAATTTTTATTAAAAATATTACTAATAAATGAAATTGTTTTTATCTTAAGGGGATGCCGGAGTGTTGGCCAAACTCTATGGCATCTCTCTAGTAACTTTATACCGCGCACATGTGCACTAGCCAAAGATGGTTCCTATCTAGATATTAAGTAAGCTAAGTTCTTCCTCACCGAACACACTCTCTTTTGTCTGCCTTTAATACTGTGATACTGTCTGTTACCAAAGAAGAAATAAAGTATTTTTTATACATATAAAAAATATACTCATCACATACTTATCGATCCGAGACGCCTCAGCAGTGGTTTCCAAATAGTTATTATATATCTACCTGCATCCAAGACGCATGAGCAGAAATCTCTTTCCCGCTAAATATATATATATATACACGTGCACGAGCGCTACAACTCCGACGGGTTAGCGCCTTCATTTGAGTGGAACTAAAATTGTCGATAATTACCGAGAATTTTAATTCCGCTATTATCGATAATAATCCATATATGTCAAAAAGCCATTTTAGTGTGTTCAACATATTGAAATCAGACAACATAATATATTTTTACTGTTGAATCATCTCGCACACGCATCTAAGCGTGTCAATGACAATAAAACATACATATACAGTGGCGGATTTTGGTTTCTGCCGCCCCTAGGCTGAATCAAATTTGCCGCCCCTTAATGACAGTAGAGCAAGGGGAAATTTTTTTATTAATTAAATAAGAAATTGATAATAAAATAGGAAACGGGTATCTTATATATAAGATTCTCTGAATAATAATAAATAACACACTCCATTAATTTTAAAAAATCTTTTTTGGAATATAAAATAATCAGCTTAAATCTTAAACTTAACTTAAACTAATCTTTGGAAATCAGGAACTACATTAACAAAACAATTTTCTTGTTTAAAAAAAGAATATCAAAGTTTAAAAAAAATGTCGCCTCGCTTTTATTTTGGCAAACGAATAAATAACGTCATCAAAAGATATTCTTGACATTATTTCCGACTCAATTGACAGAATTGCCGATGCGTTTAATCTATCTTATGACATTGTAGATCGCATATAATTTTTTATTCGTCGTAAGCACGAAAATGAACGTTCACCCGTACAGTTTGAGGATGCTTTAGTTCTAAATATTCTTGCTGCAATATTCACATTCGGATACACATCGTATAAGTCATTTTTATACATCCATGTGCATATATCTTGCACTGACACGGATATATTTTCGGGCAAGAGTAATTGTTCACGCAAATGTATTATAAGAATTCTTCAACAATACTGACTTCAATATCATCTGGAAAGCTTTCACAGACGCGGATAGCATATTTTCTTATTTCTGCTGAACTCAACTCTCTTAATTTGATGAGCACAATGAATCTATCATATATAATTTCATACCCAGAACACCGTTTTTCTAATTCAATTCGTAAACTATCTAAAATTACGAGGAATGTTTCAATTCAAAAACGATCTCTGCTGCTGAACGTTTCATCAGCATCGCCATCTCGTGATTCGTCAAGTTGCAATTTTCTTTTCTTTATTCGGGATTTACATCTTTCATATTTCTGCTCATTTGACAATAATTTCGCTTTGTTCTCAAATTCATCAAAGTCGTTTCTAATCCTTTGGACGAAATTAATAAGAGACTTATACAATTCTAAAACAATGGAGATATCAATATCTATACTTTGTAGTTTCTTGCTTGATGCGTTTAATCTTGAAAGTAAAGTACTCCAAAATACAGCCATAAACGCGGTTTCCAATCGTTCTAAACGAATTCGCAATCCCTTTGCTTCACTTCTGCTTATATTTTTTTCTACTGCGTTATTTTCAATGAAGGATAAAGCTTCAATAATCTCCAACCAAGATTCATTCAAACTTCGGCAAGCGTCATCTCTAGCAGACCATCGTGTTGTTGACAGTCGCTTTAGTGTTAGTTTGGCTTTTATATATGATTGTAATATTTCCCACCGGTATGTGGATGCCGAGAAAAATTTAAAAAGTTCCTGGAGGACACCGAAAAAATTTGTTGCTTCAGTACAACAACTTGCGGCACAGTTTCCTACGAGATTTAAAGAGTGGGCAGCACATGGTACATACTCAGTTAAAGGATTTAGTTCTTTGATTTTCATCTGAAGTCCCGAATAAACACCAGACATATTAGCAGCATTATCATAAGATTGGCCTCTACAATTAGATATGTCAATTTCCAAATCAATAAGTATTTTACTGACGGTTTCTGCTAATTCCTGTGATTTATGTCCTGTATTTGGAAGAAACGTAATAAAACGTTCTACTGGTGAACCACATTCTTGAACATATCTTATAATAAAAGACAACTGATCGATATGTGATATATCGGGGGTAGAGTCTACTATCACAGAATAATATTTCGCTTTTTTAATTTCCGCAAGAATAGTCTTTTGTGTTTTCTTGGCCATTAGCTGAACTAATTCTTCATAAATCGTTGCAGATAAATAATTAGTGTGCCTACTACCTGGATTACCATACCTTTTAATATGTTCGGCCAAAAAAGGGTCAAATTGTGAGATCAATTCCAGTGCCATAAGAAAGTTTCCATTTTTGAGTGATCCAAACTTTTCTTCGTGACCTCTCAGTGGAAGTGCACGAGAAGAAAGTGACCTCACAACAGCTACTACTCTTTGTAACACTTTTCTCCAATAAGATATTTCTTCATCTAATTGCTTTATTAACGTTTTATCAACTTGTGCTATTTTGTTTCCTTTTATTTTTAATGTTTATGAAGTTAGCACCGCCATTTTGGAAAACAAAAAAAATCAAAGTTGTGCTAGATTGTGTTAGGCTTGTGCTATGTTGTGCCGCAAACCGCACTTCGATATCTCAAAAAAAGAAGCGAAAATTGAAAAAAATCGTTTTTAAGGCCCAACACCGCCATTTTGTCAGAATGAAAAAAACACAATTGTGCTAGATTGTGCTAGACTTGTGCTAGTTTGTGCCGCAAACCAAAGTTCGATAACGCAATTAATTTATTAGAAAATGGCAATTTAAAAAATAGTCGCAGCACCGCCATTTTGAAAAACAAAAAAAATCAAAGTTGTGCTAGATTGTGCTAGGCTTGTGCTATGTTGTGCCGCAAACCGCATTTCGATATCTCAAAAAAAAGAAGCGAAAATTAAAAAAAATTGTTTTTAAGATCCAACACCGATTCTATGTCCATAATTCGGCTTTTCAATTACCCGACGAAGACAGTATTGCATATCTGAGTTGTGCTAGCCTAGCACAAGTCAGCACAACTGTCTATTTCCTCAGCACAGCGATATTAAGGACACTTTACTCTTGAGTGCGACTCTTTGCGCTCGCATTCTATGTCCATAATTCGGCTTTTCGATTATCCGACGAAGATAATATGGCATATCTGAGTTGTGCTAGTCTAGCATAAGTCAGCACAATTGTCCATTTTCTCAGCACAGCGATATTAGGGCACTTTACTCTTGAGCGCGACTCTTTGCGCCCGCATTCTATGCCCATAATTCGGCTTTTCGATTATCCGAAGAAGACAGTATTGCATATCTGAGTTGTGCTAACCTTTTTTTTTTTTACGTCAGGAATGTGTTCAACACATACCCTCCACTTCGGGGGAGGCTTCGGGTTATGCGGGGATGGGAGAGGGCAGAAGGCCCAACTCCCGACCCGCTAAACCTGACGGTGGTTCTCCTGGCGCTACTCGGAGGCCCCGGGAATCGCTTTCGCATGCAGCCGGGCCTCCGAAACGCCGTGACGCACCCCTTTCAGGTGCGTCCCCTCCGTTTGACGGGTTAAACCCGTCAGGCAAGAGGAGTGGGGACCACCACCACTCCTCTCTCCTCCTTGGAGAGCCGCGTGCAATGAGTTCAAGGGCCCCCGCCCTTGATACTCTACGACTCTCCCGTCTCAGGTGTTGACGCCCTTCCGCCCCCAAAGGGGGTTAGGATTCGGCGCCAACACCCGAGACTTCTCCGGGAGACTCCCTCCATAAAGGAAGCCTCCCTCAGCGGGAGGGAGGGGACGCTTGATCCCGCCCTAGGGGCGTCCCCTCCGTTCCGCTTCTCCTGTTACATTTCTCCCCCGGGGATCAGGCGAGTTGTGCTAGCCTAGCACAAGTCAGCACAACTGTCCATTTCCTCAGCACAGCGATATTAAGGACACTTTACTCTTGAGCGCGACTCTTTGCGCCCGCATTCTATGTCCATAATTCGGCTTTTCGATTATCCGACGAAGATAATATGGCATATCTGAGTTGTGCTAGCCTAGCACAGGTCAACACAACTGTTGATTGATATGCAATACCGTCTTCGTCGGATATTAAAAAACCAGCATAACTGTTGATTCCTTAGATTGATGATGTTAAGAGTACTAAACAACAATTTATATGAGTCTCGCCTTGGCTATTGAAGAGATTATAAAATTTCTTTATCAAGCTCCAAACAACTTGTCATTGCGGAAACTAATGCCCGCACGATCGACGTTAAGATCGATCCTTATCAAGATTTTCGATTGATAAGGAGAATAAGGAGAATTCGAGTTAAAAACCCCAGGTTAAACCAATGCTCGGTTACTCGATATATGCAACTTCCGAGAAATATACTTACTTAAGATTATAAGGATAGATTATACGGCAGTAATTGAACGAGGGACTAGCACTTTCATCACCATCGTTTCAGTCGATAAGCGTTTTTCTTCTCTCGCGTGCCAGTGACTATCCTCTTCAGATTGTCGTTGTTGCTCCAACAACCGTTGTTCCAGTAACTTTTGTTCATTGTCACCACCACTGTTAAAACTGTCGATCGGATTGGCGCTACGCAATTGCGACTGCTCCGTCGTATTCTGTGGTTGTCGGGAGGGTTTTGGTGACGGCACATCATCTGCACCCCAGGATGGCTTGTACTCTTCTGTCTCTCTCGTCTTATTGTCTCCTGCTGCTGATGTTTCTCTTTTATCAAGATCTCATGAAGTTTCTCTAATTTCTTTAAAAGTTGGTCTCTTGCTAGATCGTAACTTTAACATAAAGACATCAAGAAGTATAATCGGTGACAGGCAGTGATTGGGACACGAGTCGTTCTCCATTCTCCAGTTTACCTAGCACTTCATACTCTTCAAACCTTGGAATGGTTTTGACGCCTAACATTAAAATCTCCCACATACATACACCGAACAATCCAAACGTGTACAAAGTTGTAAATCTTCGAAAGTTTATGTTTCTGGTGTCATCCACTTGATTAGGTAGTTTACACTTGCTTGCGGTATAATAACTCTGATCTTTCCACTCACTACTGAGGTCGAAATCTGCCAACGTA